GGGCGGCTGAAGGAGCCGCTGCGGGCGGCGCTGAGCCGCGCGCGCAGGCCCGGCTCGATGCCGCTGCCGGCGCCCTCCCCGTTGGGCGAGCCCGGCGGTTGCGGCGAGGCCGGCGGCGACAGAGGCGTGTGTTGCTGGTCTTCCTGCGGTTCGTTTTATGTAGAAATAGAATGTGAATAAAAATAAAACGCAGTTGCCCACGTAGCAAGATGGGCACAAACATCGAATTTGTAAGATGATGATGATCCTTTTTCGTGGCCTATACGTATGCAGTTCAATCGTGATTCGATGGATGGGCGACTACTCGCAAAAAAAGTGGTTGCACGGAAATACAATACTTGAAGAATCCTATCAAAGCCCATGGGGAGAGAAGAACGTACCATTGTTTGCAGTTCCGAGAGGATGTTGAAAGGGGCGCAGTCTTGCTTGTGGAACGTTGAGTCGATGAAGTTGTGGTGCACCTTTGCTTTTCCTTTACTTTCCTTCCCAGCGCAAATTTCAAGTTTGTGATTGGTTTGCTCCCACATTACACAGGCAAACAAAAGGGCATTGTGTACCTTGTACAACAACTCCCCCTGTTGAATGCACATTGTCAATGCATGGAAAGTGTGCATTCAATGGCAAGGAATGGCAGCAAAGAAAGGTGGTGAAAGCTGTGTAGTTCTGGAAATGGAAACTGTTGTGCTGCCAGGGTGTGAGGCTTTAAGGCAGTTGCAACAAGGGAAGACTGGGACATGTCCATGTGAGAGTCAGAGAAGGAGAACTGGTACTGAAGCTGTTGTGGCTGCGCGCAACTGACTTGTAGCATTTTCTTTGGATTATTTCATTTCTCTGCGCCGAAAAGAGGAAGGAAAAGGAACTCAACGGCGGCAGTGACGAAGCCAGCACCACGGGCCTGCTGCACCATGTCGTTCTTCAAGCGGCTACTCAACCGGATGGAAAGGAGGACGTATGTGCCGCACCCAGTCCAACGCTAATTGTTGCAGCATCTTCAAGATTTGTGGGATTAGGTGCCTCCGCCACCTCATATCTTGACGTCATCGTGCCGCCTCGGGCTCTGGTGCAGGGTCGTAGGAATGGACAAAGTGGGCAACACCTACGTCATCGAGCCGGACCCACTCAACCCCGCCCGCCCCTTCAAGCGCATGATCGAGGCCAAGGACACCATCTACGACCCCTCCAGGTACCATGCACCTTCAAGAGGAGTCAGGACGCTACACGCGCCATGTGGTGACGTTCTTCTATCACGACCTCATTGTGGCTATCATCGCGACTGCCTACGTAGTGTGCCCGCGCTGTGGCGTAGTTGGCTGAACTTCCGGCGCGAAGAGCCGCCCACCGAGAAGGAGCTCGAAGCCTATGAAGCGAAGCAGGTAAAGTCTTCTTTTCCCGCGCCGTGACTGCTGTCGGCACAGACAGCGAGCTGGCGGGCGTACGCGTGGGAGACTGATCGCGACCGATGATGTTTGGCGATCGTGGTGTGGTGTGTACCAGCGCAACCTCGCGCAGAAGGTCGCGGAGCTGGAGGAGGAGGACGCCAAGCTGGCGTTGCAGGAGCAGGCCGCCAGGCAGGCCGGAGGTACCACCGCTACCACACAAGCCCTTCTCTACTGGCTCTGCTCGCCGGCCTGCGCGCCGCAACGCACCGCACCGCACCCATTCGTTCCCTCCGCACTGCAGTTCGCAACGCAGGACCTCAGGGAGCCACACCGAAGGGAATGCTCGACACTCTCGTGCTGCAGCTGGCTGCTGGCGAGGTATGCCCCCACAAATCTTGCAGACGAGGTGCGGTGTCGTGTGGTTCGCTGACTGTGTTGTGTGTATGCGTAAGATCGACCAACGAGGGCAGAAGAGCGCCGAAGGAAAGGAAATGGACGTCGAAGATGATGACCTGCCCTTCCCCGAGTTTCCCTCCGAGGCACGTCTGCAGAGAGAGCCGCACACGCACCGCCGCACACGCTTGCTTCTTGGCATTTCTAACGCACTTCATATCACGCGCTACACCCGCAACCACCACAGGCCAAGGAATGGGATTCGCCCCGTCGGCCACGAAGCACGGATGACACATATAGCCGACCGTCGTGTAGAGCGGCCTCCTTCTCGGCGCCGCCGGATTCCTTCGCTGATGATGAAGACGAGGCAGATCAAGAGGTACTAGCGATGATCGCTCCCTCCATCCACACCTTCTTCTACTGCTTCTTCCTCCGCCACCTCCCCCGGCCCGTTCTCACTTCGCGCGATTTCGTATCACCACCATCGCGGCTGACAGTGGAAGCCACCATCCAACAACAAGTGAGGTATGTTGTGGGCGGAGTTCAAGGCCTGCCACGTCATCACCAAATGGCGACGCTTAGTTCCAGGCCGGCGTTGAAGATAAAGTGATCTTCCAACACTCTAGACCAGATTCTGCAGGAGAAGAAGGCCCACCTCACAGCCTCTCCTCTCTGCTCCCGGCATGCTCTCGGTCTGCTCCTGCACTCCAGCCATGATCCCCCGAGGACTGGCATGGTGAGGGTTGAGGAGAAGATCGTTGGGCGGTGATCGCCACCAGGGGCTTCTTGTGTGAGCTCTCGGTTGCACCGCAGATTCGCTGAAGAAGGAACTGCAGGAGGGCGTTCCATAACAAGATAGTGCTCGCGCACGTGAACCGAAATTTCGCATTTGGCCTCCAATGGGAGGCAATCTCCGGTCATCTTTCGTGTCGACACCACACACCACAGGTTTTGGTGGGTTGGCTGTCTCTTGGTACAGTTGTTGCTCTTTTTCCGTTCCACCCTCTCGTGCCCCTCCACAACCGCCGGACACGCCTTCCGCCACAGCAAGCGGAAGATGAAGATGGACGTCGGGAGAAGATGGAATCCAAAAAGTTGGAGGCGCGAAGAGTGCAGCAAAAGGAAGGAAAATGATTTTCACGTCTTTTTGCTATTGGACCCCAAGGCCGTGAAGAACGTTTGTCGTGTGAGCTGAAGGCGCCAACGAAGCCATCGATTCATCTTGTTGCCGTGGCCACTCTCTAGCAACGGGCACCCAGGGAGAACGGCACAGTTGAGAGGTAATTCAATTCAATTCGAATTTTGCATTTTTTTGGTCGGGTCCTTTGCGAATTGCGGGCAGAGACAGAAATTGATGGTGAAGAAGAATGAAGATCATCAAAAACTGATCGGGAGCACAGCAGGAGGTATATTTTGGGGCTTCATAAAACAATGTCCATCCCAGCGCCGCACGTTCAAGTGCCAGCTCCCTACCAGGGCAAGCCCATCACCACTGACCTCGTGCAAAAGGTTTGCCCCCCTTCTCCCTCTCCCCGCAATCGCATCATGCCTGTCGATCTTTTTGTTGATCCCTCCCCTTTCCTTTCTTTCAAACGCCAATCCGGCCGCATCGCGGGACCCACACAGGTGTTGGATGAAAATCGTTCGCTCATATTTGCGGTGCTCGAGAACCAGAACATGCAACGCCTCGCCGAATGTTCTCGGTACCACCAGCGCACTGCTCCCCGTTTGCCAACTCGTGTGTCGTGTGTGTCATGCGTGTCGTGTGCGTGTGTCGTGTGCGCACACGGTGGAGCCCTGTCTTTTTTGACACTTTGTCGTATGTTGCGCAATACACGCGAAGGTACCAAGCACGGCTGCAGCAAAACCTGATATTCCTGGCTACGGTGGCCGACGCCCAGCCGGGCCTGCGAAAGCGATCGCCCTCGGACGGCGCGGGCGAGGGACCTGCGTCCCTGATGGGTCCCTCCTCCTCTTCCTCCTCCGCCCCGGCGCCATCGCCAGCTGCCCAGAGCGCTCACGGCTACATGCGATCGAGCGGAGGCCCCTCCTCCACAGGTTCGTTATCGTGTCGTGTGTCGTGCGTGTCGTGTCGTGTGTGTGGTGTGTGTGGCTCATTTTTCCTGTCCGGTGAATGCCAGGCATGCCAACGCCGCACCACGCGGGCTATCCGTCGTACGCGACGCCGCACGGCGGCGCGGTGCTGTCGTCCTCGGCGTCGTCGGCCTACGGGGCAGCGCCCTATGCTCATACGCCGCAGCCGGTCTCCTCGCCGCACACGGGCGTGCCGTCGCAGGCGCCAGCGGGCGCCTACCCATCTCCACAGCAGCAGTCGGCCTACTCGCAGCCGTCGCCCATGTCACCGGCGTCGTCGGGACCGTCGGCCGCGCCTGGCCTCCACTACTCCATGCCCGCCACCGCCTCTTTGCCGCCTCAGATGATCCGTCGAACGGGAATCAGCGGTACCGTCACCGCGCACGCGCACCCTCGCACACGCGCACGCACTGATCACAGCACCATCACCACAGGCGGGCCACAGCAGGGCATATCACAACAGCAGCCGCAGCAGTATGGCGCGCAGGCCACCATGCAACAGCCGCAGCAGCCGCAGGCGGGACAGCCCATGCAGGCTGGTGATGGGCAGGACCGACCATGGACGCCCGACGAAAACCGGCGGTTCATTGACGCTCTTCGGGCTTACGGCCCCAAAGGTGCGCACAGCCTCCTTAGACGGCCCACCACCGCACGACCAGACGAACCTGCAACTCACACCTAACTTCGTTCCCTGCCGACGCAGACATCGACAAGATCGTGTACGCGGTGCAGACCCGATCGAAGATGCAGGTCCAGATCCACCTCCAGAAGTACATCCACAAAGTGCGCGAGGAGCAGGCCAAGCAGCAGCAGCTCGCCGCCCAGCAGCAGGCCCAGCAGGCTCAGCAGCCGCCACACGGCTATCCGCAGCAGACGTCGGCGCAGCCGAAACCCACGCCGCAGCAGCTGGCCCACCTCACGCCCCAACAGCTCGCGCAGCTTTCTCAACGCTCGCAGCAGGGCTCCAACCTCCAACAGCAGCAGCAGCAGCCTCCGCAGGCCCAGCCGCAGCCGCAGCAGCAGTACTACCAGCAGCAGCAGCAGCAGCAGCAGCAGCCACACCAGCAGCAGCCGTCGCAACAGACGACGCCCTCCTACGCCTACCCGGCCGCCACACAGACACAGCAGCAGCGTCCAGCAGCAGCGAATGCCTCAACAGGTCCAGCAGCAGCAGGCCCAGCAGCCAACACCGAACTACTATCAGCAGGCCCAGATGCTGCAGCAGCAGCAGCAGCAGAGGCAGATGCAGATGCAGATGGCCCGACGGACTGGGCTCCCCGGAGGCCAGCCCGGCTCCTCCGCACCACCGCAGCAGCCGCAGCCGCAGCAACAGCAGCAGCAGCAGACCGGCATGCCGGGTTCCTCGGCTTCGGGACCCTCTCACCCCTCCTAGCCTCCTCTGCCCTCTCTTCTCTTCTTTGGGGTTATTTATTTGTGTGGTTGGGTTTGTAAAGAAAAAAAAAGGCACCATACACGCACTCGCTCTTCACGGGATAAGGGAGAGGACCACGCCCGTTCCCACCTCCCCGAGCACGTCCATCGCGATGCTAGAGTCCTCCTTCTCCTTTTTCTTCTTCTCGCCATCTTGTGCGTCTTCTTGTTGTGGTTGCTCGTCCTCGCTCTGTTCCTCCTCCAGCCAGAACTCTTCCTCTTCCTCTTCCATCGGCTCGCCGTCAGTGTGGGCTTGGCTCTCCTCTTCTGACCAGGGTCGCGTTTCTTCTTCCTGCCTCCTCTCTAGGGGTTGTTCGCCCGGTGCTGGTGGGTGGGTGCCCCTCGACTGGAGGGGCGCCGACCGAACAGAAAAAGAACGAAAGCGGAACGAGAGCGAAGAAGACGAAGGCGCGGCTCGCGGCCGGAGCCACACAGGCGCCCCTTCCGCTGGTCGAAGAAGAACAACGCGGCGAGTGGCTCGCATTACTGCACTGTTTGTTATGTCTTGGTGTGTCGATATCAGCTGTTGTGTTGGCAACTTTCTGTTTCATTGTTTTGCTTCTGTGGTGTTCCAAGAATTTCAGCTTACAAACTTGAGTCTACCAAAGGTGGTAGGCAGACCCTGACGGTTCTAGGCGGTGGCCTCCTCCTTGGCTTCGTCGGCCTTCTCTTCTTCTTCTTCGCCGTCGTCCTTGGGCTCGAGCTGCTCTTTGAGGAGGGCGTAGTGTCGGTACCGGTCGGCGACGTCGCGCACCAGCAGCCGCTGCTTCTCGTCGGTGAGCTCGGGGTGCTGCTGGCGCAGGGCCTCGTAGCGGTTCTCTCCCCGCAAAAATTGGAGCAGCTGGTCGTCCGGCGGGCTCGAGTCCAGCGAGAGCGGGTTCATGCCCTGCTCCACCAGCGACGGGTTGTATCGGTACAAGATGTGGTACCCGGCCTTGATCGCCCGCTTCGCCTCCTCCACCTCGGTCGATATCCCCGCCCTATGACACGACACGACACACACAGCACACGACACGACACACGGAGTGAGTACGTGGGCGCGTGTTGCGAGTTGGTGGAGAAGAGAGTGAGAGTACTTGATGCCGTGGGCGATGCAGGGCGCGTAGGCGATGACGAGCGAGGGCCCGTCGAAGGCCTCGGCCTCGGCCAGGGCCTGCACGGCGTGG